CTGAAACAGGCTGAGCTAAGCATATCAACAGCTCAGCTCTTGACATGCTGTGCAGGTTGGTGGCAGCATTACTAAATTATACTCTGTGGTAAATATTAATATTATAGAGAAAGGTTAATAAAAGGATATAAAGTGTGTGTGTGTGTGTGAATATGAGAATTATATTTATAAATAATTTATAAATATAAATTAATCAACAAAGATGCATGTTGTAAGGAAATCATTAATTTAACAGGTTTCCTTCCTAATAATATATTTTTTAACGCAATGACGTCACAGTGAAGGACGTTACAACGTGCGACCGTTGACGTTATTTGGTCGTCAGTTGTTAATATTGTTAATATTTACAGTCTGTGGTTGTTCGTCGTCAGTTTGTCGGTTAAGATTTTATAAACTGGGATTAGATTGATTAAATATGCGGGACAACATTTAAATGCTTTAATCTGAAAGTTTCTTGTATATAAATGAGTAAAACTTTAAATGAATTCAGTAAAACTTGATAAATTCTTGCTCTGAACGAAAGGTGACGGACGACGGTGAAGATAAAAGCTAAAAGCTAACTCCGGTAATGAGGATGCTAACGTGAAGGAGACAGTTTGATGTGAGGAATGGAGGAAGATGAAGAGGATGAAGAAGAAGAAGAAGACGAGGACGGTCTGAACAGCTGCATTTATTCTGTGAGTTGACTTTATGAGTTTAAAGTTTAGTTAAATTAAAATTACTGTCATGTGCTAACATTAGCTACAGCTAGCAGGCGGGTCTGATGCTGTTTCCATAGTAACGGAGGAAGACTGCGCTGTTTCCATAGTAACGGAGGAATACTGCGCTGTTTCCATAGTAACAGTCTAACGGTCACTTTTTCCTCCCAGCTGAAGGATAATAATGTCCATCAGGAATTTGATCATCTTTGGTTTATTGAACACTTTTTGTTTATATTTGTTGTTGTTGGTTTTTATCAGTTTATGGAATTGTTTGTGCTTTTGTTTAGTTATATTAAAACTCTATCCGTTGATTCGGGGGGTGTTGTGCAGGCCGTCCACCAACGATCCCGAGGAGCCTATGAGAGCTCAGGAGCTCCCAGGAAAATCTGTGGTTAGTGACTGAGCTTTACAGATAGAAACATGCAGTAATATGATGAACTGTATATCTGTAAATGAAGCTTCCTTCACCTGCGACCTGCGTAATGGTCCAGATGATTTCTGCACAGGAACAGTTGCATTTCCCAGACATAACTGTTTACTGTACCTGGGTCAGCACACGACCGCTGTGGACAGCATTCAATGCAAGTTGTTTATAAAGTAGTCAGCGATCATCTTGGGATCACTGTTAGTAGTGTATGCCTCCATCCACATTATGTGACGACTAAATCTGTCAGTGCTCCCATTAATTCAAATGCCATACGGCTTCAGTTTATCCTAAGAATCCACATGCCACAGGGTGTTGGGACCTCTGTTGTTGGACTGGGAGCTCCACTCCTTCCAGATCTAAAATCTTGATGATCAAATAGTCTCCTGAGAAACCACAAACCCCCTCTGGATGGCACGCAGGTGTTACCAACTTTGTAGATGTCCACTGACAGCTATTTCCTCTGCCACAAAAGAGACAATTTCCTCCAAGTCAGTGTGGTTCTTTCTTATGAAAAGCTCCAGTTTCTTGCAGTATCTTTTCACGATCCTGATACTTATGACAATCTGATGCTGATGTGACAAAAGATGAAGTATTTCCTTATTTGTGAAACCTTTGCTTAAGTATAACTTCACAAGATGCTCCACGTTCCTCATTTTCGTACAGGCGGCTGCTGCTCTTCTGATACAACTACAGACTAAAATAACGACTTTCTTTAACGTGTCCCTAATCCTCCGTCACAGCATGTGATGTGAGCGAGTCAGTGACAAAATCAGCGACATTCCACTGTTTGTCCTGACGAACCCTGAGCCCCCCCTCTGTCGCTCGTGAAGACATGGAAAAGAAACGAGGGCGGCCGACAAGATGCCAAGAGTGTCCTTCAGGAAAATTCATTTGAATTATTTCTCTTTCGTCACCCAGCAGAGCACGTTAGCACGTTAGCATGTTAGCATGTTAGCATGATTAGCAAAGTGGAGATAAAGTTGAATTTATTGTATCTGTGTCTGGAATGTTTTTCATTGATGCTCAGCTGACGAAGCAGCGGGAGAAACTTGGGGTTAATTGTCTTGTCCAAGGACACAGCGGACATGTGGCTGCAGGAGCTGGGGATCGAACCCCCGACCTTCCAGTAGAAAGACGACCGTTTCTACCACTGATCCACAGCCGCCCCAAAGTGGACTGTCTTTACAGTGTAATATTTATCATTATATTACAAAATGTGATTTGAAATCGTACCCATCAAGGTGTGTTTTGTATTCATTCTTTGCTGTTCCTTGTTTTGATCTTTCATGCTCCTGCTCCATGTGTGAATTAACTCCCGGGGTCAAATCAAGTTTTATGATTTGAATTTGAATAACCAGATTAAAATGATCTAACAAAAACACAACCTGAATAAATAAATGTATAGATCCATGTCCAGTAAGGGCTTACATACTTACGTGAACTTCAACATGTTTGGTGTTTCGTTTTCTTACAAATCGGTGAATGTCAGAATGTTTTAAGAACGAGGCCGTGCTGTCCGGCTGCATGTCGTCCATCGATGGCGTCAGATTCAGTGTCACCAGATCTGGTGAGAGAAACGAGCAGGTCAGTGGAGGTGAGTCCAAAAGAAAGGACTTACAAATGTTCATGGAAACTCCTGCACAGTCTAACCAGCAATGTTTTGGTCCTGACACGTTGCCCGTTAGTTCATTGTAAGGAAGATAGTCGGCATTATTTTCCTTTTAACCTGTTTTATGAAATTGATGTGCAAAGTTTTCCTTTCCATTATGATGTGGGGGGGGGGGGCATGCCACCCCTGGCCAGCTCTCTGGACACGTCCCTGCCTGTGTGCTTGTGTGGGTGGGCTGTGTGGTAGAACTGGGCTTGCAGAAAATCAGCAGAAAGAGGAAACCCTCCGAACCTTGGGACGAGAGCAAATAAAAGAGACTTTCAGAAACTGTTGAGTTGCTAAGTCACCCAGTTTATTACATGCAGCATGGAGAGAAGTTCAGCTATGCGTACAGGATACACAAAGTAAGTTCTCTGCCCGCTCTTGGGGCGTACAATCTTTTATAGTGTGATCGAAACTTACAGAGGAGGATCAAAGAAAAAGGTGCAGCTTTATCTGTGTCAGTACCTTGTGGTCAGTGTCTAAATATGTGAATGTAGCAGTAACTTGTCCTTGAGAGTTTTAAAAAAAATAGTCCTTATAAGGAGCTGTTGTTGAGTCTGTGTACGTGAGATAAAACTCCTGTGGTGAGGTGAGTATCGTGCAAGGTTCGTGTGTTGCAGTGGTCATATAAGGACACGGTGCATGTATACGTGATATGTGTAATGCTATGTGTAATGCATTGGATCAGTTAATGAGCAAACATAAAAGTATAAAGAATATAAGATTCCACATTCCCCCCTTTTGTTCTTTAGAACAAACTACGATAAAACAAAATAAAACATAAAACATCCTTCACACATCACTCATCAAAGGGGAAGAAACTGAGATCGGGGTAGCCTTCATTTTCATCATCAGCATCATTAGCATCACCATTAACCGCTAGCAGCGGGAAATTTTGCACAGCATCTTCAGGATGTGGGGGTGAAATAGCACGGTCAATCAAGCGAGTCATAAGAGCTCTAATACATGGGATACAGCAACAACCACAGAGAATGAGAATTGCAGCCATGACTGCAATTGAAAGTAGGACAGACATAATTAGACCTTTCCATTTACCAAACAAATTGCTCATCAATGCTGATTTCTAGGAAGGAAAATCTGAGGAATGGTCTTATGAGTTTGTTTGGGAGAAGGTGTGAGACAAGAGACAGTGGTAGAGGATACAGACCGTCTTTCACGTGGTTGTTGCTGTGGAGAAAAGGTGGTGTTAACATCGGGTGCTGTAGAGTTGGTGAGAGAGGGTTTAGTGGGAGTGGTTACAGATTTAGTGTTAGTTTCTTGCAGCTGATACCATAACCAAGGTGCTAGCACAATGCTAGCAAAAATTAGGAGGATACATGTCGTGCCTCGGAGGCCACACAGGCCTTTATGATTTCTAAAAGGATGCCATGGTCTGGGCCTGTCTCTCTTCTGACCGCGTGGCTGCCTCTCAGTCAATGGCAGGAGGGTTGGAGTTGGAGCCATGTTGCCTGCTGTAGGAGCAGAGCACGTCGTACACTCCTGTCGACTAATTCCTCAACGCTCTAATGCTGTCTTGTCAGCCGTTGCAGCAGGTGGTGTTACCTTCTTACAGTGGGATGCGTGGATCCATGTAGGTCGACCTTCGACCTTTACTGCGGTGTTTGTGACGAGTAGAACCTGATAAGGTTTGGTCCACCGGGGCTGCAGTGCAGTCTTCCTTTGGTGGATCTTTATAACCACGTAGTCACCTGGTTGCAGTGGATGTCCTGGTTCGTTCAGGGGTTGTGGTTGTCCTTCACGAACCTGTTTGTGAATGGATGAGAAGGCATAGTGCAACGCTTTGCAATAGTTTAGTACACTATCATGTCTCAGGGCCATTTCTTGAGGCACTATCATAGTGCCCAGAGATCCTGGGGTGCTCATGGCTCGTCCTGTAATCACCTCATATGGAGATAAATGATTACGTCTGCTAGTAGTAGCTCTGATACTCATCAGGGCCAGAGGAAGAGCCTCCGGCCAGCTAAGTTGTGTCTGTGCACATATTTTAGCTAGTTTGAGTTTCAGAGTCTGGTTCAACCTTTCAACTTTCCCTGCACTTTGTGGATGGTAAGGTGTGTGCAGGTGGTGTTTGATTCCTAGTGCTGTAACAACATCTTGCACTATTTGTCCAGTAAAATGAGTCCCTCTGTCACTATTAATGGATACTGGGATACCAAACCTTGGAATGAGCTCTTTGAGTAAGGCTTTTGATACTGCTGTTGTGTCTGCTTTTGCAGTAGGAAAAGCTTCGGGCCATCCTGAGAATGTGTCCACCATGACCAGGACGTATTGAAACCGTCCGTGTTTTGGCATTTGGATAAAATCAATCTGTAAATTTGAAAATGGTCCTGGTGGAGCAGGATGAGCACCTTGTTTCACTTTTGTTGTCTTTCCAACGTTGTGTTGTTGGCAAATGGCACATCTTTGTACAAAATCAGCACATGCCTGGGATACATTATTTGCATACCATACACGTCTAATTATCGCTTCCATCCCCCCTTTGTTCACGTGTGCTACACCGTGAACAGTCTGTAAGAGGTAGGGGAGGAGCGACTGAGGGCAACACGGGCGCCCGTCGACAGAGTAATATACATTATTTACAAGAACACATTTTGTCTGCCAGTGAGATCGTTCCAAGGGTTCGGCAGCTAACTGTAAGGCAGCTACGTCATGGACGGAGGGATCCGGGCTGGGAGAAACCAGTATTGAGGTCGCCAACACGGGAGCGAGGGCTCCTGACACCGCAGCGGCTTTTGCTGCAGTATCAGCTCTTGCGTTACCGAGGCTCACAGGATCTTTGGAAGATGTATGGGCGTCACATTTGAGAATAGCAACTTTAGAAGGAAGAAGGAGAGCTTTTAGGAGAGCCTCTACTAGGGAAGCATTTTTAATAGGGGTGCCTGCAGATGTTAAGAAATCACGATGTCTCCAGATTCCACCAAAATCAAGGCAGACACCTAAAGCATACCGAGAGTCAGTGTAGATGTTAACAGATTTATTCTTTGCATAGATACATGCCTGAGTGAGAGCCACTAGCTCCGCCTGTTGAGCAGAGAAGTGGTCTGGAAGTTTACCTGTAAGAATGGTGCCAGTGGGAGAAACTACAGCCCAACCTGAATCAAGGGTGCCCTGCAGGTTTCTAGAAGAGCTGCCGTCAGTGAACAGGGTAAGGTCAGGGTTAGACAAAGGGGTGTCAAAGAGATCTTCACGAATGGTGTAGGTCATTGTTACCGTCGCCTGGCAGTCATGGGGCTCACCGTCAGCAGCAGTAGGAAGGAGAGAAGAGGGATCGAGAGTTGGAGATCTGTGAATAGTAAGATTAGGCATAGACAGCAGCAACAATTCATAATGACTCTGTCTGGCTGCGGAAAGGTGTTGTGTGCTGGCTCTGGTAAGCAGAGCACTCACTGCATGGGGAACATAAAGTTTACACTGAGAGTCCAATACCAGGTCAGACACGGTTCTTACCATGAAAGCAGCAGCCGCCACAGCTCGGAGACACGGGGGCAAACCCAGCTCAGTGTTGTCAAGGCGAGTGGAATAGTAACCTACTGGGCGTTTGTTAGAGCCATGTTGTTGAGTGAGAACACCAGAGGCAAACCCATTGCGTTCGTGAACGTACAGCTGGAAAGGTTTGCTGTAATCAGGGAGACCCAGCGCCGGGGCCTGTGAAAGTGCTTGTTTTAAGTCAGTGAACGCTGTCTCTGCATCCTCCGTCCATTGGAGGTGCTCAGGAGCTGCCTGCAGGAGCATGTCTTGAAGGGGCCTGGCTCGAGGGGCAAAGTCCATGATCCATGGTCTGGAGTACCCGAGGATGCCTAGGAACGACTTCAGCTGCTTCTTGGTGTGGGGTTTTGGAATGTTCAAAACAGCAGAAACACGTTTACTACTGACTTGGCGGGTGTTACCTTTGAGAACATGGCCCAGGTAGATCACTTCTTGTTGCACCAGCTGGGCTTTCGTGGCGCTGGCCTTGTGTCCCTTCTCAGCCAATGACAACAACAGAGCTCTTGTGTCCGTTTCGCATGCCTCTTTGGTGGGGCTGGCTACCAACAGGTCGTCCACGTACTGGATCAAGGCACTGCCTCCAGGGAGTTGTACATCAGCTAGATCTGTAAGAAGGGCTCGGGCAAAAAGAGTGGGGCTGTGAATAAAACCTTGTGGGAGGCGAGTCCACGTGTACTGATGCCCACCGTAGGTGAAAGCAAACAGGTACTGGGACTCTGGGGAGACAGGGATGCTGAAAAAAGCAGAACAGAGGTCAACAACAGAGTACCACTGAGTAGAAGCAGGAATAGAGGTTAGGATGGTGGTGGGGCTGGGTACTACAGGAGTCATGGGAGCCACATAGTCATTAATCAGGCGGAGATCTTGAACAAACCGCCAGTCAGGGGAGTTAGGTTTCTTAACGGGTAGAATAGGGGTGTTACAGGGGCTCTGACACGGCACCAAAACTCCTTGGTCTAAAAGGGTAGCGATGACAGGCTTAATGCCTTCCAGAGAGGCCTGTGAGAGGGGGTACTGCTGTTTTCTGGGAGCAGGACCTGATTTTACAGGAATTGACACAGGAGGGTGAGACAACATTAGGCCACACTCATTAGAGTACTGAGACCACAATGTGTCTGGGACTCCCGCTGTGGCAGGGGACTGAGGAGGAACAGAAACTGAGAACAGAGAAAGAGGGTGAGACATGTCAGTGGTCTTAAAAGGTGAAATGGTGCATACAGGATCTTCGTCATCAGCTAACCATGAGTCATCTACTGTCACTGTCCATGCCACGCCCTCATAGTGGGAGTACACCATTCCTTGGTACAAATGTGAGATGGTTGGAGTCAGAGTCTGTAAGGTCTTTGCTATGGGACCTAAGTCTTTAGGCTCGTAACCTTCACAGGTGTAGAGAGTCAGGTGTGGGGCGGAGTCAGGTTGCTGGAACAAGCTGGAGGCTACTGGGCCCAATTGATGTGTCAATAGGGCACCCCCCTGCTTACACAACAAAATGGTGCACGCAAAAACACTACAGGCCTGTCGTAAGAAGGGAGAAAAATGATGGAAATACTCAAGGTCTCGTCCTGTAGGGTCAACGTGCAAAGTCCAGTGCATGCGGTGTGGAGGGACACAAGCTGAGGAAACATCAGGGAGGTCTGGGCTGTCTGAGAGAAACTCCTGCAATAGATCAAATGTAAAAGGCACCATGCTTCTTATAATAATATCTGACTGAAAGTCATTATACATTAGGCTGTAGAAAAGTCCAGGCTGGTTAACTGTCATGGACATCTGGGAAGTTGGAGGGAGCTGTAATTCAACAGAATTAGCATGGCATACCAAAGTGGCTTTTAACTTACCTAATAAATCTCTTCCCATTAAACTTACTGGTGAGTTGTCGCCCATAAGTAGAAAAGAGTGCTCCAGATTTTGACCCTGAAAAGACACTAGAGCAGGTTGTGAGACATAATTTTGTTGCGTAATTCCAGCCACTCCTATGGTACTTAGGGTTTCTGTGGAGGGTGCAACATTAGCAGCAGCTGCATCAGAGGGAGTCAGGGTAGAAACAGTAGCCCCAGTGTCTACTAGCATCTCAGTTGAGGTCCTGTTTATTTCCATCACTGCCTTCGGATCTGGAGAAACAGAAAGAGGAGCTAATAAAAGGGGAATTAGTGTTTGTGTAAGTGTGGGTGGCTTACTTCCCTGTGAGCCTTGGTGTGGAGCCTCGCTGGCCTATTGTGGGTGCAGGAATGGTCCACCAGGGGGACCCATTTGCTGTCTATTCATGCCTCTACCTCCGCCCCCTCCTCTAGGAAGAGCTCCTCTCGACTGTGAAAGGGGTTGGTTCCTTGAGCTGCTGGAAAGGGGTGATAAACTGGCCACTGTGTGGGAGCTGGAGATAAAAACTGTGTCTGTGGGAGAGAGGAGGGTTGGGTAGGGGCAGCCTGCTGAGGCTGTTGCACAATCATTTGTTTTACAGCACCAGAATATTGTTTGCGTTTGTCTTTCTTTCCCTTATTTCTGTGTCTTATTTTATTTTTGTTTTTACAATCGGTGTCAGACTCTGAGCTAGAACTATCAGAGGATTCAGCATTTTGTCGATTTCTTTCCAAGTGTTTGGCTATAGCTACACACTGTTCTAGAGTTTTTACCTCCCACGCGAGGTCTTGTTTTATCACTTCTCTGGAATGTCTTTCTAATCCGTCAACGAATGCGTGCGGAAGAAGCGGGGCGAACTGCTCTGAGGTTAAGCCTGAGTATTTCTTAAATGTGTTTTGCAACCTAGTCACAAAATCTTCCACCTGTTCCTCTTTTCTTTTATGTAGTCCTGACAGTTTACCCCAATCTGGGTTGACTTTGAATTTAGTCTGTAAATCCTTCATTATTTCTTCCAACATAAGTTCGCCCCTTTCTTCTGTCTGATCTTTTGCAGCTGCGCTCTGTGCATCAAGATATATTTTCCATCTATCCTCGAGCTTAGGCCAACGCGCCATACAAAAGTTGTACCAGTCACCCTGACAGGGATGGAAACATCCAGACAGTCTCTTTAGATATGTTATAGTCTGAGCCATTTTTATTTTATTTATTTATTATTATTTTTTATTATTATTATTATTTTTTTTTTATTATTATTATTATTATTTTTTTTTTTTTTTTTTTTTTTTTTTTTTTTTGTTCCAGCGTTTGAAAATTTTAAGCCAATCTATGTCAGGGTACCCTGTTTTCATTTGCATTAAGATTGATCTATCCGGAGTATTACCTTCGCCATCAGGCTTTAGTTTACTGGTTGATTTTCCCATTGTTCCTTTTATTTGTTTGTTTTATTTTATCACTTTAGCATAGCCTTTTTACTTTATCCTTGTTTTTGCAATTCTTTGCTTAATTTCTGTTTTCACTGTACTCCCTCAGACGTCTCTGAGGTTTCCCATGAAACCCAGAATTTTAGTTTAATATTCTGTTTTCACTGTACTCCCTCAGACGTCTCTGAGGTTTCCCATGAAACCCAGAATTTTTAGTTTCATAAATTCGTTCCCACTATTTTATACAAATTTAGGTACTTGATTTTATTAGTTCAATAAATTCGTTCCCACTATTTTATATAAATTTAGGTACTTGATTTTATTAGTTCAAAAAAATTCGTTCCCACTATTTTATATAAATTTAGGTACTTGATTTTATTCTTCAATAAATTCGTTCCCACTATTTTCTATAAATTTAGGTACTTGATTTTATTCTTCTTCTTTTATTTACCTGATTTTATTCTTCTTCTTTTATTTACCTTATTTTATTCTTCTTCTTTTATTTTTTTCACTATCGTCCGATGGTCAGAGTAGTTTCACACAGTTCTGGTTCTTTACCCAAAATTTATCAGGGATTCCGTTACCAAACCTAGAGCTCCCTTCTCACAACTCTATACTCTCCACCCCTAAACTGTCAAACTTTAGAAAAGGTGTTTGACTTACCTATTCCTCAGTTGATTTGGGTGGAGAAGTTGTTTCGGAGGAAACTACCCGGTTGATGTTAGGAATCCCATCCTCGTCGCCATGTAATTGTGGTAGAACTGGGCCTGCAGAAAATCAGCAGAAAGAGGAAACCCTCCGAACCTTGGGACGAGAGCAAATAAAAGAGACTTTCAGAATCTGTTGAGTTGCTAAGTCACCCAGTTTATTACATGCAGCATGGAGAGAAGTTCAGCTATGCGTACAGGATACACAAAGTAAGTTCTCTGCCCGCTCTTGGGGCGTACAATCTTTTATAGTGTGATCAAAACTTACAGAGGAGGATCAAAGAAAAAGGTGCAGCTTTATCTGTGTCAGTACCTTGTGGTCAGTGTATAAATATGTGAATGTAGCAGTAACTTGTCCTTGAGAGTTTTAAAAAAATAGTCCTTATAAGGAGCTGTTGTTGAGTCTGTGTACGTGAGATAAAACTCCTGTGGTGAGGTGAGTATCGTGCAAGGTTCGTGTGTTGCAGTGGTCATATAAGGACACGGTGCATGTATACGTGATATGTGTAATGCTATGTGTAATGCATTGGATCAGTTAATGAGCAAACATAAAAGTATAAAGAATATAAGATTCCACAGCTGTAAAGGGGAAGGGGAGGTACAGGATTAACCAGGGGAACAGGGTCATGGACGGATCCTGCAACAGGACAAAACTATCGTGTTTCACGTTATTGGAGAGATCTGGGAGAGAAACAGGAGAGGTTCAAACAGGGAGCAGAGCAAGACAAAATAAACAGCTGCACTTGAGAAACAAGCCCAAAGACGCTTATAATAAGAGGACCTGGCAACGCTGATCCAAAGGTTTCATCTGTTTTTGTTGGAATAATCAGTTGACACTTGCTGCTGTACCAACATACTGTTGTGAAAAGACCTCCGGGCATCAATACGTCACATGAAGTGTCTCTTTTCCTCTGAATCAGCAGAGGTGTTACTGCACATCCCTGGTGGTTTTAACTAGGAATTTTAAAGGAATTTTAAAGGAAGTGTCAAAGGTGTGTGGTGGGAGGGTGAGTTACTGGAGGTGTCTGAGTTAGTTCCAGAGAAACATCTCCAACCCCTCTCCACTCACGTTCACAGGAAGGAGTTTAGTACAGCTGCGATAGAGCTCAACAGTATGATTACCAGCCATAATGTCAGAACCATCCAAGGTAGACTGAACACGAGCTACCTGAGTGTTAAACGATGCTTTACGCTTCTGTAGGAGACACGAGTTCGTCTGATATCAACCTCGCTTTAAGAAAAACTAGATTTATTCACGATATCAAAGAACTACACTACCCAGGACAATAGAGTGTCACAGAGACGTCTCTGATTGGTTGAGCTAGCTGTTACCATGGCAATGTTTCCCGCCCTCGGCACATTATGCAAACAGATAAGTTTTGCTAGCAGGCTAGCTAGTTCATTAGCTAACATGAAATGTAGTGATTAGCTTGTCATGCTGCAGTGAATGTAGTTTATTTATTCAACAACACAAACTAAACGATTAACAGTATAAACACGAGAACAACGACAAACGTTACATTCAAGAAGAAACGATCTCATTCGCAGTGGATTGTGGGATGGGTAGTTCGACTCCGGACAGAAAGTACGTACAGTCTTGTACCTTTGCCTTCTTCTTCTTCTTTTAATGCCGTTTTGGTGCTGAATTAAATGTACTGTAGTCACGAGTATTGAGGCAGCTGGCTGTCTTGGTTCCAGGCGCCAATCAGTTGATATAAAGATTTTATGAAAACTCAAGGGAGGATGTGAACGGGAAATTTACTAACATCCAAATAATCAGTGAGTATGTTCTTCTTCTTCTCTCTAGTTCTTGACTAAAACAGCTTTTATACACAAGGGGAGGAGCCGGCCGTCCCGTCCATGTAAACACGGCTCTGACAACAACACAGCCAGCGGGACTCGAGCTTCTCCCTCATTGTAGACAGTTAGGACTCAGAGAGACTTCGTCACCACCTGTTCTTTGCCGTCAGTAGGGGGGCCCTGAGAGCTCACAAACTAAAACCAAAGCAGAGGCACAATATGAGCAAATGTAGATACGACAGTAGGAAATCTCCCTTAAGGCCCCCTACTCAGGGCCTTAAGGGAGATTTCCTACTGTCGTATCTACATTTGCTCATATTGTGCCTCTGCTTTGGTTTTAGTTTGTGAGCTCTCAGGGCCCCCCTACTGATCCGGGGCCCCAAACAGACCTCTGCACGTCCTCAGTGGTCGTTTCTGTGGTGGAATTTCTGTACCTATGTATGAAGATTTAAGTGTACTAACATCATTATGTTTATTCACTGTTCTCTGATGTCAGCTAGAGTTCAGCTGTGACTAGAAACCAAGGACAGCTTAGTGTGTCGAGGGTCTTCTGCATGTTTGGTAGACTTAGTGTCTGTTCCAAATTAACATCACAGATGAGTTAAGGTCAGTGTGACTCTGACGTCAATCATGTATTTTCTATGTATTCAAAGCCTGTTGAAGAGTTTGGGAGAATTGGATACAGCATCAGACGTGTGCTTGATACTCCATCTCTGCTCCGGAGTATTCTTGTAGAGACTTTCATCAACGTAAGCCATCTGAGTCAACTGAGTCTTATTGTGTGAAGTCAAGTTCTTAGTAATTTCCTCAACAGTTTCTTCATCTGTGTGTGTGTGTGTGTGTGTGTGTGTGTGTGTGTGTGTGTGTGTGTGTGTGTGTGTGTGTGTGTGTGTGTGTGTGTGTGTGTGTGTGTGTGTGTGTGTGTGCTGGGTGTGATCTTTTGTTTCCTGTTGTTCTGCAGACACTTTGCCATTTCTGAGAAACTCTTGTGTTAAACTTGACGACCTGTGTGTTTCTCAGTGTTAGTGTGTGTGTTTTAAAGGATGTGTTTCCTGTTCTTCCTTTCATTTCTTCTTTTCTTAAATGATTTCTCAGATACAGCAGGTCATGCACGGTGTGAATATTGAATACATGTATCTAAAGCAGATCATTTTCTCTGTTTTCCCTCCACCTGCTCACCTTTCTTGTTTCTTTCTTCTCAGCTCTCACAAACACAACAAACAATGATGAAACAGAATGCACATGAGGCTGTCAAGAGGTCTGAACAATAATTCAGCACAGGCTGTTTTTTTTTTATTGATTCATCACCAGTAATGGGCGGAGCTTTGACTTACTGCATTACGTGATTGGTTAACTTTAAGATTCAAGTTTATGATTCTGTTATTCACCTTATTAAGTCTGAATTCAGAAACTACTTGAAGATGATGATGGTGCTTCACCTCGTCCACACACACACACACACACACACACACACACACACACACACACACACGGGTAAAGGGCGAGGGATGAAGATGAGGGTTAAGGTCGAGCTTTCTGTCTTGTGTGTGTGTGTCTCTGGGGGGCGTGGCTTCAATCAACACCAGGTCACTACTCACACCTGCAGCTCATCTGCTCATCTGCCTCAAGCTGAAACCCTGGGTTCAACTCGACTCATTGCCAGATTATTGAGTCTACTGAAGTGGTAGCTATGATGGGCTGCTCTTAACATTTGTTAGAGTTTGTTCCGAGCGTTTTTCAAGTGAATCCAAACAGATTTTCTCTTCTGTTGTCCAGATTCTCACCGGTGTCATCTCCTCCAGTCTGCTCTCCTCTCAGACAACTCAACCAATCACCTGCCTGCCTACAGAACCAGCTAACTCCATAAGTCTCCTCCACGCCGTCACTACCAGCCAGCCAGTCAGCCATCCACCTTTCCCAAACCCTGCAATAAAACCTCAAACCCTTCAACTTTGCTGCTGTGTCTGCTTTTGGGTCAAGATACAAACCGTAACATTTTGCAACTTTTTAATCCAGTAGATGTCGCCCTCGAGCTCCAGCATGAAACCAAAACAAACTGCTGATAGGCCATGCCTCCTCCATACTAAAGCCTCCGCTCTCCTCCAGAGACACACCTCGAGCTGCAATCACCTGTGTCCTGCATTGTTGTGTTAGCATGCTAATGTTAGCGCTCTTTAGTCAGCTCGTAGCTTCACATTGTTGTGTTAGCATGCTAATGTTAGCGCTCTTTAGTCAGCTCGTAGCTTCACATTGTTGTGTTAGAATGCTAATGTTAGCGCTCTTTAGTCAGCTCGTAGCTTCACATTGTTCTGTTAGCATGCTAATGTTAGCGCTCTTTAGTCAGCTCGTAGCTTCACATTGCTGTGTTAGCATGCTAATGTTAGCGCTCTTTAGTCAGCTCGTAGCTTCACATTGTTGTGTTAGCATGCTAATGTTAGCGCTCTTTAGTTAGCTCGTAGCTTCACATTTCATGTAAACTGACACAGAATGAGCGTGATCTAAAAACTCTTACTAACATCCAAATAATCAGTGAGTATGTTCTTCATCTTCTCTCTAGTTCTTGACTAAAACAGCTTTTATACACAAGGGAGGAGCCGGCCGTCCCGTCCATGTAAACACGGCTCTGACAACAACACAGCCAGCGGGACTCGAGCTTCTCCTCATTGTAGACAGTCAGGACTCAGAGACACATTTACACAGGACAACTTTAGGATTTATTGATGAGGATCTGATCTGTTTTTCTTTTCTTTTCTAGTTTGAGGTCGCTCCTTGAAAGAGTGCTGTGTGTTGAGATATAAATTGCTTCATTAAACTTGACATGACTTTAAATGGAGGTGTGTAGCTCATGAACAGTCAGAAAGCACCTGTGCAGACAAAAGACTCGTCCTGCAGCTCCTGCAGTCCCTGACACTTCTGTCATTACATTTGTATTTTTTTCTAAGGAAGCAGAGGCAGCGCTGTTTGTCAATCATTAATCCACATCAAACTGTGACACATTTTATCTGCCTCCTTATTTTCTCTAACGAGCTGTGCTAGTTCCTGTAGGTTGAATATCTTAACGTGTGCAGCACTCTTTGATATGCATTTGACACGGTGCTTCATAAACACAATAAATGTAATCCAACAGGGACAGAGATCTACAGGACGTCTCTGTTACAGTGGGCTTTAGTTTCATTATTACTCCAACTATTCACCCTGCACACAGAGCTACTCTGTTCTCTGAATCAAGTCTCAGTGTTTCAACACATCTCTGATTGTATCTCTTATCAGGAAGTGGGCGGCAGCGTGGAGCGAATCAGGCAAAGCGTGACAGCAAATTCCTCAGAGATGGTAAGAATTAACTCTTAGTTATCTAATTATTGTTTTATATACGCAAACACTCATCTTCATCTTCATCACTCTGACCTTCACCCTCATCTTCATCACTCTTACCTTCACCCTCATCTTCATCCCTCT